GAGCCGGTTGAAGCTAAATCCTTCGAAGACAGAGGTCCTGTGGCTGGGACGGGGCGATATGGGATTGGGGGGGCAACTCCCATCTCTTGCGGGGGCGCATTTAGTGCCAGCACCGTCCCTTAAGAGTTTGGGTGTAATCTTCGACACCTCCCTTTCCATGGAGGCGCAGATTGCAGCTATAACAAAGGCGGCATTTTTCCATCTCCGCCAAGCTAAGCAGTTGGCTCCTTACCTCTCTCGCCCTGACCTAGCCACTGTGATCCATGCGACGGTCACCTCCAGACTGGATTATTGTAACTCGCTCTACGTGGGGCTGCCCTGAGACTGACCCAGAAACTCCAGCGGGTGCAGAATGCTGCAGCGAGACTCCTTACGAGGTCTTCGCTGCGAGATCACATTCACCCGGTGCTATACCAGCTGCACTGGCTCCCGGTGGAGTACAGGATCAGGTTTAAGGTGCTGGTTTTAACCTTTAAAGCCCTATACGGCCTAGGACCCTCGTACCTACGGGACCGCCTCTCCTGGTATGCCCCACAGAGAAACTTACGGTCTTCGAATAAAAACATCTTGAAGGTCCCAGGCCCCAGAGAAGTTAGGCTGGCCTCAACTAGAGCCAGGGCTTTTTCGGCTGTGGCTCCGATCTGGTGGAACACTCTGTCACAAGAGACCAGGGCCCTGCGGGACTTGACATCTTTCCGCAGGGCCTGCAAGACAGAGCTGTTCCACCAGGCCTTTGGCCAGGGCACAGCCTGACTCCCTCCCTCGGCAATCTTCGCGGAGCTCTGGCCCAATGGTTGCCAGTGGCTTGAATTAATTAATTTTATAACGAATGATTTTAGACTGTTGTTTATGCTGTACTTTTGTACTGTTTTATTGTTGTTAGCCGCCCTGAGCCCGGCTTCGGCTGGGGAGGGCGGGATATAAATAAAATTTATTATTATTATTATTATTATGGGGAGCAGAGCTGGGTCACAGGTTAGCCTTGCTCTCGTTCTTCCAATGCCATACCGCAGCAGCTGCAGGTTCAGAGTATGAGAAAGGGTTCTAATAGCATCCGAGAATATGCATTTTTTGCTTCCCCAGTGTGACAGGGAATCATGGTTCATTTGGGAAAAATTGGGGGATATCTATTGCATACATCTTTTCACAGGTAAGGCCCCTTCTCATGAGAACTGAACACGAGGCCTTTGGGGAACATGGTTGGTGGGTCAAACAGCAGGGAGTGGAGTGATCTCTGCATGATCTCACGGTGCATCTGTATCCCCCAAATATTGCTTCTCTCGTTAGGAAAGTGGATCTCACAGTTTGATATGTTGGGAAAAAATATTGTATTCTAGGAATAAAGCATTCTTTGTCTCCGGCTGTTGAAAAATACCAATTCATGAGTGTTTTAGTAGTTGTTGTTATGGTGTCACACTGCGGTTTCTATACGTTTTTTATTATTGAGAACAATACCACAGATTCATCTTGCTCGGTATTGTCGACACTGACTGGAATGGTTCTCCCAACCCTACTTGGATATATGAGAGACTAAAACTGAGGAGCTCTGCATGCAAAGCAAGTGTTCTGTTACTGAGCTATGGCACCAGGAGTGCTGGTTGTCACTGAAAGCTGGGACATCCATTCTACAATATATAAAATGGATAATTTAAATAGAGGCATATGGTACATCTGCATATTTACTGTGAATCATGTACTGTTGAATTTTGTAAACGATGCCTAAGTTTCAATCATTTTATCATATTACTGTTGATTTTTTTTTAAAAAAAATGTATTTTGTTGCAATATGATGTTGATAATAATTTGAAATCAAAGATCTAAAATTATTTCCCAAGTTGACTGCCAGAATCACACAACTGGCTTATTCAGCAAATAACCATACCTAAAGCATTTTGTTCCCATAATGCTGGTCAGGAGTATCTGTTCTTGTCGTTCAAAACGTTGCGTGGAAAGCAGTCTTTTTGTCACTTCTAAACAGCTTTTCAGATGCACTGAACATGCTACATAAATATAGGAGCTGTGACCTTTTGAAATGTATCCCCAAGTCTCATACCATTAAACCTGTGCGGCTGACATGATTAGCATGTTTCCTCTGGCTCCTGATCAGCAGAAAGCACACATGGCCATGCATATCTCCCTGGAGCTTTCAGCTACACCTTCAACAGCCAGCTAGTAGACATCCTTTCTCAGAGACCTTTTCACATTTCTTCCAAAGCAAAAAGAGGGACCATTAATCCTCACTTGTCAACACTGGCCTGCCACGAAAAAAAGGAAAGAAAGAAAAACTATTGTGCTGGACAAACTCCACAGTGATTGTGAAGAAAATGGGGGGGGGGGGAGCCAATGCAAATAAATTGGTTAATTAAATGCCAACTGCATTTAAACAAATCCCTTTGGTTGTTGTGACATTTCATATGGGCTATGCCTGCACTTGCTTACTTTAGAATGGGGAGAATTCATAAGCTGGGAAGTATAAAGGCTTCCATTGATGAGCGTTGATAAACAGGAAGCAATGGTGCTGTTGGGGTAGGACTTGGAGGGGAGGGGGCAAAAGTACAAGGTCCCACTTAGCAGCATGAGCAGAGGATCCCCCCAAAAAACCCCCAGCAAGAATAACTTAACACACTTTGAAGTAAGTGCAGCCATGTGCATGATGAGCTAATGAGCCCTCCCCCCTCCTGCTAATATTATTAACAGGATCGGCCTTTGATGTGATCCAGCAGGGATCGTGTTATGTTTCCACAGCTTAATTTACCTAATTGCACCGCTCATAGGGACAGGGAGCAGATAACCTTGCTTGAACGTTTTGTGAAGAGTGCCAAGGGGCAAGCGGTTGCTAGCGCAACATCAGTAGGCACATGGGGGGAGAAATCACCTATGGCATGCTCTTCGGTTGCCCTCACGTGATTCACAGCGCATCCTCACATGACCATATAGGACTGGGTGCAGAGGGTAACGCGGCATCATCCCATTCAATGTGGGGTCCTTGACTGGGTGCAATCCCTCATGTGGCGGATCCAGGAAGAAACAAAGGCACAATGTCAGCAGGAATAAAAGAAGTGTGAATTCCGGGTCACATTCCCAAGGGATGAAGCTGCCTCCATGCAGTGACACAATTATGCATCATCTCCTCACCCCCAGCTTTGAACATCCTGCAGAAGAAGCTTTAAGACACAATGGTTAAGTACTATAGCCAGCGCTGGAAGCAGTATGCCTCTAAATAGCAATTGCCCCAATGGGGTGAGTGCTTTCGGCCTTTCCGTAGGCATCTGTTTGGCCGCTGTGAGGACAAGATGCTGGACTAGATAGGCCTTTGTATGTGTTGTTGTTTAGTCGTGTCCGACTCTTCGTGACCCCATGGACCAGAGCATGCCAGGCACTCCTGTCTTCCACTGCCTCCCGCAGTTTGGTCAAACTCATGCTGGTAGCTTCGAGAACACTGTCCAACCATCTCGTCCTCTGTCGTCCCCTTCTCCTTGTGCCCTCCATCTTTCCCAACATCAGGGTCTTTTCCAGGGAGTCTTCTCTTCTCATGAGGTGGCCAAAGTATTGGAGCCTCAGCTTCAGAATCTGTCCTTCCAGTGAGCACTCAGGGCTGATTTCGTTAAGAATGGATAGGTTTGATCTTTTGCAGTCCATGGGACTCTCAAGAGTCTCCTCCAGCACCATAATTCAAAAGCATCAATTCTTCGGTGACCAGCCTTCTTTGTGGTCCAGCTCTCACTTCCATACATCACTACTGGGATGTATTAATTAATTAATTATTAATTATCTATCCTTTCACTCATTGAGTAAGACTGACATCTAGCTTAGCAGGGTTGAAAACATACCATCCTTTGCAGCATGAACAGGGAAACTTGGGACAAAGTTTTGTAGCTCAATCATCCAGGATGTCTTAGGTAGAGCGGATCTTCCCCTTCCCCTCTAAACAAAATAATGACACAAAAATTTGTAATGTAAGAAAATGGATTGAGCAAACAGCAGATGTGACTTCATGGAGTATTCTCTAGGAGTTCACAGGGAACTCCATGTGTCTTAACCCTTTACTCAGATAGCAAACATGGAATTTTATATTTTGACTGGAGCAGCATTTCCACACATTTTGGATCCAGCAGGTCTCCTGGTCTCTCTGCTTTTCTAGCCCAAATAAAAATTGAGTACCCCGTTTCTTGCCTTAAAGCTAGAAGGGGAAAGTCACAACATCATAGCACAGTTGTCTTGTGGTAGGTCTACTTCAGTTTTTAGGTTCCCAAAATTTCAATGCCTCGGTCTAGAATGAATTGAATAGCCATTAGGCAAGAAGACATAAAGGCATTATTAATACAAGCTTCTGATTAATCAACTGAAGAAGTGAGATCCTGATGACTGAATAACACTTTATGCTGAAATCTCATGTAGGCATCAACTACTTGGGGTTGGTTGCTTTCTCCACAGTTTTGTTTATAGATATATGCCATATTCCTATTACCTTAAGTGCTTGTAAAACTATAAATAAACCAGAGAACAATTTAAATTACTCACATAAAAGCCTGATGGAAGAAAAAAGCTTTATTGGATGAGTGAATTTTGTATTTTATTTTAGAAATACATTAGAGATGTAATATAAACACATTAAGGATATTCTTTGCTTCTGATGGTCTTCTTAAAGTGTTTGAAATATTTAAAGCAGAGGTTTTCAACCTTTTTGAATCCATGGATCCCTTTAATACCTTCCTCAACTGCAAAATTAAGGTCAGCTTCACCCTTGCTGAGCTGGCAACCCCACCCTTTGAACAATCTCCGCGATGGCCACTCTTCCTCTCCGACTCTGATCTTTCGGGCACCCGCAAAACGCAGCCGCCACCGACGCCCTGCCGTGGTGCCTTGATCGCACTGGCGTGGGTCCGGAGATCACGCCTCAGCTGCACAACGACGGTCAAAGGCAACACGCCACGACACCGCCGCGCCCGGTCAGGATAACCCTTCGCACGGCACCAGCCGCGCAGCCTTTTGCGCCACAGCATACGCCAGCGCGCCGCCGCTCGCCGGCCGCCCGCCGGCCTCCACTCGCCGGTCATCCCCGCCGGCACGCCGTTGCCCACCTACGCTTGGCTTCACCGGGCCGCCCACCGGCACCAACACCCCGGCTGCCCGCAGAGGCACCATCACAGGCTTCGAGCTGTACGCCGCGCGCGCGCCTGTGATGCGCAGCTTTGAGATACACCGCCGGCGAACAAGGCAGGACAGAGCCAGCGTGTCGTCGGCACCTCCACGCACCTTCACAAAATCGGGGCGCGCGCGCCACTGCTTAAGTTTACATTGGCGCACAATGGTCAAAATACTTTTACCAATCTCAGATTTGCAAAATAGACACAATGCACGACACACAATACGTAATGAATCAGACGAGCATGATGATTGACAACACCACGATTTGGTCAGCGGGAATATGTTTTGTAACGCTGGCGGAAGCGGCGCGGCAAATCCTCTTTCTTCGGCGCTCACAAACCGCACCTGAACGGTTATCTCCTACTCAAACAGCGCTCACTGGCGCTTTACACGGTAAAATGCTTGACCAGCGCCGACTGACTGGACCGATATACGAAATTGAGTATCGCAGAGGACCGGGGCGCCATCAGCCAGCGGCTGCGCCACGCAGATACCGAGAACAACCAGCAGTCAGCAGGCCGGCATCGCCCGGATGAAACCACTGCGGCACCGGAAAACAAACGATCGCCCACGCTGTTCCGCACCATATGATTCGACATCCCTGATTTCCCGTGAAAATCATCGCCGCTGATAAAGAGCTACCCTTTGAGGCCCAAACGTTCCTCCACCACATCAATCAGCCAATGGAGCAAAGGGGAACTCGGCAACATCGTCTCAACCTTCGCTGGCAGAACACCATCAGAGCACTCGACATATGGCTGCCGCCTCCGCTGGAAGACTCAAGAGATCGTCACACCTCTGGCGCAGGCAATCATCATCAACAGCCTTTACCAACGGCGCGCCCACGTCAGCGGAAACTTCTAATGAACCACTCGTTCCGTGGTCCACTTGGACAGCTCAACCTTCCTCCCGCGTGACATCCTGTGGCATCGTCACACGGCCGGCATCACCTCTAAACTCTTCAGCCGCCACGCCCAGCCTTTAGCGCCTTCATACGCATCGCCCAGCTCTCCGGACCACGGCTGCCCCCGGCACGCCCGCCACGCACCTTCAACCAGCGCTCAGAACGGTCGCACCAGAAGAAATGACCAGAGCACGCAATGACACTCTTTGACCTGATGCTACCCGCTGATGGCCCGTAAACTGCAATACTTTTAGCCGCCAGCACGCGGGTCATGCTGCCGTGGTCATCCGGCACCTGATCTCTTTCGCGTATCGCCTTCGCCAGCGTCACCTGAACGGGACAGCCTCTACTTTTTTGAACAGCGGCCACTTGGAGAGCTTCCTGGCAAATCGATCTGGCTTCGCTTTGGCCCAGCCTCACCCGGCTGGCCGCCGGGCGTGATCCGTCCTCTGGGGCAGCTTGCCCCAGTTTCGGTGCCATCATGGCCTGACCTGATGCCTGATCCACCATCTGCTGCTGATGATAGTCAAGATCAGCCCGTGGTTGGCAACCCCTGCATCTCACTATGGCCACACTTTCAGGATAAAGAGAAACCATTGATTGCACCTTTGCTGGTCAGGTCGTCAGCCAAACCACCGATGGTAGCAGTCAAGATCATGGTTTTTACCAGCTTCTTTTTATAAGAACACTGGCTGCAGCACCTGCCTGTGCTGTCTTTGGCAGCACCCATAGGCCACATCACTGGCCTCCTCACCACCAGGCCAATCAAAAAAAAAACTGAGACCAAAGCAACCACACACTTTTTCAACCAATGACCATGGCATCACATCTTCAGGTGCCCACAGCACGCTGTTACAACATCGCCCAGACTTCCGGCGCCAGATGTCAATCGACCGCGCAATTATCGGTCCCTTCCTTTCGGCGCCAGGACAACATCGGCCCTCCAAACCGCGCCTGGACTTTCGCCCCACTGAATTTGCACGACGCGTTCCGGCGACTCGACTCGCCGCGCCCTCGGACACTGATAAACACCGGCCGGACTCAACGTAACCGCAACCGAAAACATACTTTGTACTATCTCCTGAAGACCTGGCCGTCGCCGAACTTATCACCGCATTTATATCGCATTGCTTAACGAAGACCGAGGCGCAAAGGCACAGTGAGTCGTTCTTTCGGTGTCCTCTGCCGGCACCTGTCAGGCCCGCAGATCACGGCTTTGCCCGTAACCTACACACTTCTGAATATCGGTCCGTGGCGTCCACCGCGTCACCGCAATATCTCTGAGACCGACCTTACGCCGCCGCGCACGATCAACGCAACGCGGTAACCACATCACCTTCGGCTCCGGCGCCGGAGAGACTGCCACGTACTTCAAACAACCAGCGAGCAAACCCCAGCCTCGGCCTTTGAGTCCCACGCTTCACACGCGCACCCGGCACTCGTGGTCAGAACGCCCGTATCCGCCTCTTTGGCGACAGGCCCCAGCAGCCCGCCGCTACTTCCAGCCTAACTTTGGCTTGGCTGGCTACGTTCCTCCCGCGCCACGCCTCAGATGGCACCGGGCCGTACGCCAGGTACGCCGGTAACCGCGGATAAAATGACGGCAGAGGAACCAGGGGCGACGCTTTACCTTCCTCCATCTGAGAACGTCGCACAAGGCGCATGGTCTTCACTGCAAAGCGCGAAGATGGACGTGCACACAACCCTCAAAAACCGAATCTCAAACGTTACTTGGAGACATCCCCACCCGCGCGCGATACCGCACGCGTTTCAGTCACAAAAACCCTTTCGTCTCTCTCCTTTCGCCGCCCCGCGCCTCGATAGCCCCCGCCGCCAATCACCTGCTCTCACAAAACCCCGCCCTGACCTGCACGAGGAGCGTTTCATCCAGCCACAAAAAGGTTCACACGGCAACCTTTTGCCTTTTCAGCACCGCAGCTCAAGACAGACTTGGTCAGAAAAACTCATATAAACAATACAAAGAGATCACGTCTCACAGCATTAAGAGCAAACACCGGCGCTAAATATCATACCGAGCGATCGTCAGCCGTAATGATAGCACGCGACTTCAAACCGACATACTAAACCAACCAACGCCACTTCCTTCGACCCGTCACGCTGGCACAAATGACACGTCGTTCGTGATCCGTTGACTTCAACATTTGACGCACGCTGGAAACTAACAACATAAACATTGCTTCAGACACTACTCACCGGTTTCGCACCGCTTTTTGCCGCCGTCACGATTATTAAACGCGCCAAAGAAAAATTATACGCCCCGCTGGCGGATGGCTGGAGGTGAACCCGCGGTGCTTTTTGCCCTGCAACACCTCTCCAGCTTGCCGCAATGATTTGGCGCTACTGGCGGCGGAGTCACCTTTTGCCCTCCGCCTTCGGCTTTCCCGGCAACGCGACAAGAACGTGGCGATTTTTAGCCACGCCATCGCCCCGGCGCACACCGCTGCGACTTCTCACTCGATCCGCTGGACCGTCAGACTTCCACAAATCAGCCAAACCGTGAGTCGCCCGCACACACGCACCGACACAGGTGGCCGCACCTCACCGGCGCCCACCAAGAGATAAACATGAAGGCGCCGTCAAACACGGTGATCGCTGGCTGGCAAACAGAATCAGCTCACGGTAAAATAACGCAGACAACCACACGCTGAAACTGGCAAGACGATAAACAACTGAAACCGTAATCGCACTCCTCAGTGACCGGCAAACATTAACTATCGGCGCCAACCGTACAAACGGACTGGCAACAGGTCTGACTTCAGCCGTAGCGATAGACGCGAAACAGTCGCGCACGCGGTTAGATAATTCGAAGTTAAAGACACCGCGCTGTTGAGAAACAAGAAATGGACGCGACAAGACGGCACCTGACGCTGATGTATCAAACGCGCAAAATATTGGCAGATCATCATCACCCATCATACAGCAGGTTGACGGCAAATAAACGAGCGGAGACCGTTAGCCCACCGCGCATCGCTTTATCATCGAAGCGGTCTCAGCTCAGGCACCAAACCAATCTTTTTCAGCGCGCACAGAGTCGACAGGGTTCCGTCCACCGCAAATCTTTTCCTGGCGGATCATCACGCCGGTTGGCATTGTCTGGTCCCGGCAGCGGTGCAAGGCATCACTGGCGCGCCGCCGCTGATAATAACATGAACCACAAAATGATTGTGGATGAATATGCGACCAGCACGCGACGCGACACCGCCGCGATTTTTCCATCGTAATCGGTCGAAACGGCCCATAACCCCGGACACGGTATGGTGACCGGCGGGCACAAACCAATGAACCGATAAAGATGAGTGGCCGGCCGCGCCCCGGCCCGAACAAACATCCGCCATGGTCGGCATGCCTCCAACCAGGGGCCACTTTTCGCAAAAGCCAACCACGTCCCACCTGTGGGGCCAGATCGCTTTGGTAATAATAAAAACAGTCAACCCAAGGCTCGCCACAACTGGCAGATGCACGAAATGCAAAAGCACACTTTACCACGCAAAATGCTGATCTTCCATAATGCCCGCAATGATCAGAGCGCCGCAACGGCTGGATCACCCCGGTCTGGCTTTCGTCACCGCCGCCCAACGAAGCGCGCACTTCAGAGGTCAGGATCACTCGTATCTGCGCGCGATCGCGAAACGTCCAATAGGCGCCAGTGAACCGCAAAACTACCGCCAGCTGGCTGTAAACGCACTTTAATACTTTGAGATTAAGCCCAGCGCCGCCGCAGCGCGGCGCCGTGGCAATCACCAATGCGCACAGGCATCGTCGGGGATGAGGATCATCTTCCGCCACCAGCTCCCGCTGTCGTACCCGGCGTCTTGGGATCCAGGTTTGTCACTGGTATCACCGTCAGGCCATCGCGCTGGCCTTCCACCGCCCCAAACCGCGATCCTGGGCGGGCCATGCGCCAGAGGGAGCACGCCCGCCGTGGGAATAAGATCCAAACAGCTGGTAATCACTTCACGTCGAAAGCACCCAACCGCCCACACGGCTCTTCTTTGCCCCGCCGGTATTTCGCTGGCGCGCTACCGGCACCGTGCCTTACCACAGCCAATGATTTAGCGTGGCAGAGATGACTTTTACCATTTGGCATGGAGCAGTCAGAATTCCCAACCGTTGACGAAAAAGTTCAGTGAAGTATCATCAAACCAATATCACAATTTATCCAACATCCAATACCAATAACCTGATAATCATCGTCATCTTCCCAGCGGCATCGCTTTAATCTTTTCTGAATATTTCGGCGCGCTACACTCATTAACGGGAATCGTACAATTTTAACTGACGATAGTTCCACACTGCTATGGCTACGTATCGCGACATACGTCGGCTTACACGCCAGAAACAGCACGCGGCAAAAAATGTAACTCGACGTTGTCCCGTCGCACCATAACGCGCCTACCCTCGCCAGCTGGCGGGCTGGCCGTCCGCGGCCGCCCCCATCGCGTATCGCACGACCAACCACTCGCGCGTTGATCGCATGCCAGGCCACGGCACGCTATTGGCCTTCCGCCGCAGCGCACCATTTATCATCACCGCGCTTCAAACCGTTGTGTCGCAGGCCGCACAGACAACATATCACCCCACCGCGCGGATCGGCTCGCCACTTCCGATCGTGGCTTCGAAGAGTCGCGCCGAGACCAGCCGCACCACGCCCAAACAGCAAAATACTTTCGATACAAGAGACCCAAATTCCGCACCTGTCAGGTCGGCTTCCTGGCAGCGCCACCACATTAATGTGATAGCGTGCCATATCAAAGAAGACGCGCGCAACGCCTGAGCGTTTTACACGGCTGGTCACAAACTGGTGAATTTCAACCGGTCAAACCGTCGACTTTACGTTGTGCTGGCCAACGTCGTCGTGGCTGTAGCGATGGCGGACGGTAAAATCGGCGAGAAGGCGCATTTGCCAACCACGATTCGCATATGAAGACTTTGGACAACAGAGCTCGCCAAGGCGCCAAAAGGTATTGCTCTTTTCCACTTCACAAACGATTTTCACTTTTCCAGTACCGCACCGGTCGCCATATCACACATACTTTTTTGGCGAACTTCATCAATATCGTCACTGTTACATCCAACACAACACTTGGTAAAGATTTTCACAATAATACGCGGCGCCAAACTCCCCGCGGCAATACTTTTGTAGCGCAAACAGCGAACACAGGCACCGATGCACTTCACACACGCGCCACCCAATAAGGTGGCTCGACGCACCACATACTTTTGCGAACGATTGATAACACCAAACATAACCCAGGCAGGCTCAATTTTCACCAACCATAGCGGAAAGCGGAACAGTGCCCTTCCTCTGACTCGCACTCGCACCTGGTCCGGCTTCACTGAGCAAACACCTCCACATTTCCGTCGAGCAATATGAATATCATCATCGCAATGTACGCTTCCGCGATGAACACTGGAAAGCACAGAGTTTATCATCACGGCGCATCACCTCAAAGACCTTCTCTGGTATGTCGAGGGTGTACTTGAGCCATACGGGCGGGTGGGGTCACCGCGCGCACTGATAACTGTCGCTTCCAGCGCTCCGGCCATGACCGTAACAAACACGCTCAGCGCCGAACACCAGTCTTTTAGACAGCCGCTGATCGCCATGCCGCACAGATGAATATGAGGCTAAGAGAGATGGAGAAGGCAACCGTAAACGCGCCTGCACCGTGGGAAGCAAACACAGTGGCCGCGCTGGCGCAGGCTTTGTTCGGATAATACTTCGTGATCGTCAGGCAAATACGATACTCACTGTCAGAAGACCGACCGACGTTGTCTCGTGGCGATGTGGAGTCACCGCGCACGCGCCGGCACGCTCGCCATCGGCGCGCAATCGCGCTTGAACTGGCAAAACCGAGGCGATCAACCACCCAGGCCTGCAGAGCCGGCGAAATATTCAGCAGAGTCGGAACACTTCCAACCGATCACGCCGTACGCGCGATGGCTGGTGGTGAACCGAGGTCACGGCGCACCGCGCGATGCCACCACCCCGCCGCGCCGGTACCACACCCAACCCCACCACCGTCACCTTTCACCAGGCGCAATATCGCCGGCGCAGGCCGCGCGCGCAGAACGCTTATAACACAGAACAACAATCGCCACCTTTTACATAAAAAATGGCGGAACACGCGCGCAGGGGTACGCTGCGGCAAAGACAAAGAAGATGGCTGAACAAGATCTGCCAGACCGCGAAAAAGCGTCACTGAGTCAGAAAAACCACAATTTCGCAGCAAATCACTTAACAGCCGCATCATCTTCCTCTGAAGAAAAAATAACGATCGTGGATCAACCAGCGCTGAGAAGTTTACTTAACTAACAAAATTTCCTCTCGCGCTGCAAAGAAAAAAGACGTTTTTGAGATGACTTTATCGCTGCTGACAACGGCGTCACACCTTCACCGCCCCACACGTGGTTGGCGCACCAACAAACCAAACACTGGCGGTGATGTTTAATTTATACAAATATATAAACCAGAAAGCCGCACGGCCCAATGATCGCGCTGCGAAGTTGGCGCACTGGAAACAAAACCCCCAACCGAGTAACGTCGTACCTGCTTTATATGGCGCGCACTTCGCGCGCCACACGTTTTGGCTACTCGGCATGGCGATAAAGAGGTTTGGCTTACCACACAAAATAAACAACACACTAATACATAAGTCACGTATCAGTAAAAGATAAATGCGCCCGGATCACGAAACACAGATAGCCTGCCCAACACCGTGGTGGCAAAAGTTATCGGAAACACTTAAGAACGCGCCAAAGATTTACGCAACACACTTCTCTTTCGCGCCCACGTCACCCCCGCAAACCGCCCCGCGCCAGGTGGGTCATAACGACACCGGATGCGTTAAGGCAGATGCCAGCAATCACCGCACCTCACCAGCTGCCGAACTCACCGAGCCGCTGATCTGGTCATCATCATCACCACCAATCATCGTCGCGGCCTTCCGCAGCACGCAATAGAGTTGTAACGCAGCAGGTCGATCGCCAACAGAACTCAACATGGCGCCGGCGACACCTGAGAGACCAGCTTGAAATTCATCATTAAACACCTCAGTGCATAAAGACTCTCGCTGACCTTTGATGCTGGGAAGACGAGGCGCAAAGATAAAGGGGAATACATATCATAATGGCTGGGACAGTACCTTTGTCGCCAACATGAGTTCAATCAAACGCAAAAAATGATGAGCCTACGTCGTCCGCATCGCAACAGTCGACACCGTACCTAATCAAACAACAAAATCATCGTCATTTATCGATTTGCTGCCAGCACACATCATCATCATCACCACCACCGTATCATCAATCACCATCATCATCACACCATCTAAACACCTTATCATCATCGTCCGCCCTTATCAGCCCACCATCTCTTGTTGTATCGCCCGTCAGTCGCGGCGGCAAGATCGCGGCAAAATACAAAACAGAAATAGAAATTATACAATGGCTGGAACCGCGCATATCATCGTCTGCAAATAACTGGCGTGTTTTTGCGAAATTATCCTCGCAATACGCACAATATTACGCGTCGGCACGACGTTTTTGACCGAAAATATAAAGCGCGATGTCACTTGGCTGCGCCCGGGTTTCACAAGATGTCCAATAAAACACACCACCAAAAACATCAATTTTAATAACCGCGCTGCACTGGTCGTATGCTGAATGGCCGCATACATCGGCTATCTGTTCACGCTTCCGAACGGTTTAACGCTCCTCGGCGCATTACTCATGCTGCGGCGGATGAAGACGACGACCACTCGTGGTTCAGCGTCATCCCGCACGCTTCGAGTGAATGATGCGCGCCTCGCGTATACCGCGTCGGGCTACGCACTTTGGTCTGACGTCACTTCCAGAACTCGAGCAGCATCGAACGCGCACGCCGATGGCACTACTAGTCACACTGACGCGCTTTCAACGCCAGGTGGCAGTGGCGAGACCAGACAACGAGTCACCCGCCATGGATCCAACCGCCACCCCGACTGCGGTCGTCACATCGCGCACCACCACGCCCTTAATATACTCACAACGCCGCGTAAGAAAACCGCCCAGTTCTTTCGCGCGCCGTCAACCGGTATCGCGATCCAAAGATGGCGCAGATGCGCAAATTCAGCTATGACGCCAGGCGCAGGTCAAACGACCACTGTCACCCAAACAGTGCCTGAAGGCGAACTTGTCGTGATTTGAGAATAAACCGCGCTCGACGTGCGCAGCAAGACCCCGCCACGCAGCTCGTTAAGAAACGCTTCACAGAACTGACTGAACAATGGCACAACCAGCACGCACTGTTTAGCATCCGACGCGAAGGCTGGGTCCAGCACTGAATTTGGGGCCCTGCCCCAAAATATTGTAGATCCCTCCCAGCCCTGCCATCCACTAATTAATGTAGCTCTCTGAGGTAGGGAAGCCTCTCTGCTTTTACCTCTTCATGTGCATCCTTCCCCAGATAATGGAACTCTGGTTGCACAGAGTTGTGAAATCCTGGGAAGCCTCCTCATGGATGTATGAAGGCTTCCCCACCTCAGGTGGCCATGTCAAAGTCTGGGGCAGTGTGATGGCCTTAGATTCAGACTCGGAGGCTGAACCTGAGGAATCACAGCCTGCACGGGATTCCCCGCCTCCAGAACCAGCTGAGCCAGGGCTGGGGCTTGAGCCTGAAGGGTCCTCACCTGTGCTGGATCCTCAGGTGCAGGCACCAGCTGAGTCTGCTCTGGCTCCTGAGGTGATGGAGACTGCCTGCAGATGCTCCACTCTCAGCCCCGTCAGGGGAAGCTGAGGTTGCCTCTGGGTCCGGTAACCAGCTTCTCCTGAGCTGCAGAGGCTCAGGGCAGAGAGGTGGAGGAAACTAAGTTCCCGCAGGAGGAGTGCTCGCCTCCAGGCCAGGAGAGGCGAGTCACCCGTGGACTGGGGCCACCCTATGCCTCGGGGCAGATAAAAGGAGGCCAGCCCCAGTCCCAAGTTGCGGGAGCAACATTGTTGGTAGCCAGTTCCTGCCTGCACCCTGTCCTGCCGGAGCCCCTGACCTTATCCGACTCCCTGCCTTGGACCCAGCTTCAGCTTTGATGGACAGCCTCCATACTGCACCCTTGACCTCCAAGATATTTTGTTGCCTAAGAAAGCACCTCCCTGTTTCACACCCAGTAGCTGTAGCAGAACAGGCAGCATGGAATACACAGCTGTATCCTACGTTAGAAGGGAATGTGCCTCCTTAACATCTGCCGCCTGAGGCGGTTGCCTCATGATAGGGCCGGCCCTCCTCTTTAGCTCATGGAGAGGGCTGCTGGTTTATGGAGTTCTGGAATAAACAGCACAATCCTTTGCAATTCCCTCTTTTGATTGTAATAGAATTTTGCTGGCTTTAATGAGCTGAGGTTGGTATTTCCTGTCTGGAAACACTAATAAGTAAATAAGCTGTGCTATGCCGTACACTATCATTAGAGTGGAACACATTTCCAAAAGTGGATCCTCTTTGATTTTTACATTCTTCTCGGCTTCAAAGCAGTTTAGATAGTTTGTAACTCGCCATCTGTTAGACATTTGAAGATATGGGGACCAGTGCTCAGAAGCTGCAGGAAACTGCTGCCAACAGATGGGGATGTTGTCATTTTGAGCCGGAAAACATCTGTCCTCCCCATCCTCCCTGCCAACCATTTTGTCTCAGAAGAGAGGCAAAGGAAGCATGTCACAGGGAGAGCTTTCACTTTTCAAAGGCATTTGCATGGTTAATGCTGAGGGGGGGGGTCTCCTTACAATGGGGTATTGGAAAGGGACAAAAGCAGAAAGAAGAAATGGCAAAGGTTTTGATCATAACTGGACAATGTGGCCTACGGCAGCTCTGAAAGCATCATCAGATGCTAGGCAGGGATGTTGCTCCCATTGAACAGCATGGCTACTTAACAGACCCTACCAGATTTTAATAGGAGCAGCTTGTTCAGATCCAAACGTCTGTGTCACAATATTCAAACTTACCTCTACCTCCATGAGGGATAGAAACATTTCATCGTGACTCATGGGAGTGCAAGAGTGGAATCCACCGCCCCTTATTATTTTACTGTTATAATGAACCATAACTTCACTCCAAGTCTGCAGCAAAGAAAGAGAGCCATAATTCTACAGGGATACTCACCTGCCCAATTGGAAGACTGCAGGCACGGGCATGAGGTGGAATTGTCTAGCCAGACCTCTTCCACATTTGCTTTATGCTCCCTGTAGTGTAAGAATAGCTGGTCACATATGGGCCAAAGAAGTGTTGGTTTGTTTCTTGACCATACAAGCAGATCGGCCTTAGTTAGCAAGGTCTGAGATGTTGTGGTTGTCATTTTAGGTTGTGGGGGTGCTTTGCATAGGAATCTGCTGTGTAAAGTTCTGATCGTCATACCTTCAAAAGGATATTGTAGAGTTAGAAAAGGTTCAGGAAAGGACAACCAGAATCATCAAGGATATGGAGCAACTCCTATAGGAGAAAGAAGGTTGCAGCATTTGGGGATTTTTCACTGGCTTTGTCTCTCCTGTATTGAACATGTCCCTTTAATATGCCCACGTTACACTGGATGCAAGAAATCGACACTGACCTTCACACTGAGTGCAGCAGCAGCAGCTGTTGTATGTGCTTTTATTGGTAGAGCTGATGGGAACAAAGTCTACACCATTTCATGGTCCTCTTTCTGCTCTTTTAGTTGTGGCAGCCATGTTGTTTTATGCTGTGCCCCCCATGGCAACCCTTATGTCACACCCCACAACAGCCATTTTTGGCAGCCACACTCAGCCCTTTATCAAAATTCCAGATGTAGCCACTAGGCCCCCACCCACCCCCATGGCAATTGTTGGTTTAATCGACAATGATTTTGTATTTGGTGAAGAATTTTAGTGCTTTTCTTTTTCTTTTCTTTTCTTTTTTTTTTTTTGAGAGAGAGAGAGAGGTGCCAAAACTCACCGTGAACACCTCCCTTGTCATCTTAGAATGGCAAAGGTGCCAGAGCAAAGTTATGGCAAGTTACAGCTGAAAAACTGTGTTTAATTGCCATTTTTGTCATATGTAGTTTTATAATATTTTGGAAAGTGCTTTGTGATTCTTTATAATGAAGAATGGTCTAAAAGTTCTATTAACAAAGAGGAAGCAAGTGTGTTTTCAGTTCAATAACTGGCAATAGATCCCACCTTATGAAGTCTCTATTATACTGTTTTTCCCCTCTCAAGGTTTGTGCTGAAAAGTAATGAGGCAGATTTGCAGCCAAAGAGTGACACCTATTATAATTACACTCCTGGTGATAGTGAAGCATGATAACAAATAGATGAAATGTCCGAACCTCCTGCATTTTTCAGTCAAACAGGTGCCGTGTTGAGCATTTATGCTCAAAGTACACCCTGAATCTGGAACAGATGGGTATCTTTCCTGTATAAGCGAACTGCTTTTGTGAGCCAGACATCAGAGTAAATAATTTTGTGCAAAGGAAGAAGTTGATTCTCAGACCTGGGCATTTTATAATGCCGAGAAAATAAACACTGAGCACATTTAGTAGAGGAATAGCCTTTCTTCTCGAAGCATTGTAATGAGTGCACAAATCAGAAATATGGTGGCTTTGTTGCATAGCTATGTTTGAAAACATTTTTGTTAAAAAAAATAAAATGTTGTTCTATTCCCCCTATCCAACATGGAGCCTTCTACATTGAATAACCAGCTGGAAAAAAAATCATCTTAAATTTCTGCTCTCCACTTATAAATGTGTCAGGCTTAGCGTACTGGCAGTAATTTTCTTTTATGTCTGTTTTTCAGGCTGGCTTAACCAGACATCTTGCTATTTATAAGACAGCAGGAAAAGGCTGTTATTGTGCTCCCCCTTTTCACACCTCACCTTTCTGCTTTCTGTGGGATTTGAAATGAATATTTAAAGTGAAGTTTTCATTCCTTTAATTTTCCAGATTTTTAGTTGCAGCTACAAAAGTCAAAGTACCCAAAGCAAATGGAGACAGCTTCAGTTTACTGAACTGAATTGCTAAGGCATTCATTAATTATTTGGATGAGGTTTTTTTATTTCAGATTTTTGGATGGTTAATAGGCCTCATGTGAGTAATGTAATGCCAACAAAACTAATCGCATTATGACCACATAGTGAATAAAATAAAGTGTGCGTGATACTTTAAGAAATGAAGATGCAAGACTTGAGGAATAATGAAATAGCATACTTGTAAAGATAAGAACATCATCTCAATTTCACACGTTTATTCATAAATCTGATCCATCCTGTTTGCACAATAATCTGAGTTCTGAAAACTATAGTGCTTAGTGCATATTTTAGAACAAAATGTATATTTAAATACATATTTTATCACAATGCATACATTTCCAAACATATTTTGTCTGTAAACATACATTTTAAAAATATGTATAAGTTTGAGTTTTCAAAAATAGCAACATACAAACAAGACAAACAATAAAAAAGAACGACTTTGTGTAGGATATTATTGCAGTTAGAATAAAATAAGCATAAGGTTCTGTACACTATTTTTTATTTATAAATCACATCACTGGAAGCCAGACAACATCCACTGTTATACAGTGGTTCCGCTCCTTTCCCCTGGGTCATGTCCAGAAAGTGGTGTTGGGGGATGAGTGTTCAGACTCCTGGACCCTCACTTGGGGGTGCCTCAGGGTTTCGTCCTCTCCCCCATGCTTTTTAATATTTATATGAAGCCGCTGGGAGAGGCCATCAGGGGGTTTGGGCTGGGTGTTCATCAGTATGCAGATGACACCCAGCTCTACCTCTCTTTCAAATCAGAACCACTGAAGGCGGTGAAGGTCCTGTGTGAGTGCCTGGAGGCGGTTGGAGGATGGATGGCGGCTAACAGATTGAATACAAAAGTATTTTTTTTTTAAGTGTAATAAAAGCCATGTATTGTGATTCGAGGACCCGACCCCCGTTCGGGGAATAAAACACACCGACACAGTATTTTAGGTTAATGGGCTATAAAAGGCCACAACTTTATTGATTACAGCATGTGAGAAGGTATTGGCTTAGGCATTGGACCACAGGAAATTTGACTCCACCCGCTCGGAGAGGGGTGAGTCTGATGAGGTGTTAACCACCAGTAGGGGGAGCTTGTTGATGCAAATACAACTATAAGCTCTCTCGGCCCCCCGCCATACAGGCATCAGACAGGATCCACGACCGCCGGATTCCTTCAACGGA